CGTGTTCAGTTAGACAAATTGAAATACCTTATTTATCAGGCCTTGTATAACGCTTGAATTACTTCACAACACAACACATACTCCCCAGATGGCGATACACTACTGGTATTTATCTCTAACAGTTTTCCAGAAAAAAACGATTACATATTTTAAATTTAAAACCTTATATCAGTAGAAAGGGCGTTTAACTTCGCATCGAACGGTATCATTAAATAGAGGCTATTCCATTTGAAAAGGAAAAAGCAGGAAACAGGAACTGTCCAAACCGAAGGTTTTTAGCTTTTATTTTTCAGAGTTGAACATCTTGAAAACTACTAGAGGCAGGCATAGGGGATTGTTAATAAAGTAGACCTAAAATTAAANCTGAGGCAGTAATATTCCACAGATAATCTTTCATTCTCTTCTGTCTTCATTTCGTCCGTCTCATCTTTCTCACCCGAACCACCACCCACTCATTCCCACAATTTATAAAAAAAAGCTGAAGAAGGCCTTCCGCCCTACCTTCCGGCATAGTCCGGAGGGACTGCCCGCCCACCAGCATTAGTTAGTGGCTGGTGGGAATGAAACACCCAAAAGTTAAAAAAAAATGTTAAAAGTTTTATATACAGGGGAGGATGGTTTGGTTCGGTCGGGACCAAATTATAATGGAAAAATCGTAATGATCAGGAAAGGGATTAACAAACTGGAAGGGGTTTGACCACATAACCACCAAGGGAGTAGTAATTGCTCAATGAATAAATAGAAATATGAATCCAAATCTTAATTAGTTAGTTTAAGGAGTTGTAGATAAACTGATGAATTCGAAGGTTTTCTATTAATGTGAAATAACATCTTTCCCAATTTTTAAATTACATAATGAGGTATCTATAAGTACTAAATACCAAGCGGCGTATGTCCCGAAGTATCGATGTCTAATTATGGCTTTCATAATAATAGTCAGGGTAGGTACCGCGATATCTTTGTATTCAAAAAACGGACTTGTTTTTAACAAAGTTGCAATAATTTTTTGTAAATATTTAATATTTTGTCTGTAATGGGTACATACTGTAACCGCTACTTTTAATCTGTACATCGAAGACGCGATCAACATCATAAAAGACAGTACAACTGTAGGGATAGATATACAGGGGCAAAAGATAATTATATGTACCTATCCGAAAAATTCTTTCACAGACGGATGCCCCGTCTCAGTGTGGACGATATGGACCGTACGTGGTCGAATTCGGTGTTGATGAAAAATTCAAAATTTTAATTTTTTTTTTTCTTCGAAATTAAATTTTTCCTGTACACTTAGGTACGGGTCAACCGCTGGTGAAAGAATTTTAGCGCTATCTTCAATAGTTCGCCAGATATGTCCTCCTAAACATTTAAGTCTCGGTTTCAAAAATAACACTTGGCCAAAACTTCGAACAACCATAAATCCGAAGCGGAACCTCGTAGGTGGGCGCTTTTACTCTTGGCGCAGAGCACCGTATCTCTAGAAAATTTTGATAACACTCCCATAGAGATCGGACCACTCAGTCCGGAAATAGGGACCATCCTGTGGCCTCAGGAAAACACTAAAACGAACAAAAAGCAAATTGCACGAATTGGGTCGGCTCTAGTGCGGACCAGAAGTGGCAAAATTTAAAATTGCTTCCGTCGAAAACTTGCCGCATTCATTGGGCTTCGAACGAGCCCTGTTTGGCACGGATCGGACGTACACCTGCGGTGCTATGGATTTTTAACCGCGGCAATGTTCGCGAGCGCACAGCTCCTAAGTTTGACGTTTTGCGAGCTGTAAGTGGCAAACGGTAGGACCAATCGGAAAAATTTCCTTGGTTTTTATTAATATTATCTACAGTTTCTTTGTTTTCCATTGTACGAATTTATTAAATTTATTATTGCCGTATCTATTAGAGATATAGGGACGTCTTTGTGAAAACCATCTTCGCAAGCCAAACGGCCCAAAGTGACATGCCGTAAACTTTCTTCGGTTGGTGTGTAATATTTTATATGATATTAGCTCTCTAGCTAATCAGCAAACCATTTTATATGAAATAAGTTTGACTCCAGCCAATTAAATGTTGATCCGTTAGATGCTGCTCTTGGTGACTAATTATGAAACTAAATAAAAATTAACGTTCAGGCACTTATGATCTCCTAATACCAGAACTATAGCGTAGGTTTCGGCTAACAATGTGACGTAGTTTTCATATTTCATATAAGTAGAAAATAGTTTAAAATCATGAACGATTTCAAACATTTACATTAGTAGTACTATTAATTAGTATTAAATATTACACAGAGCATTAAAATAAACAAATGACAATAGATCTTAAATTTTCTATACATTTACAAAACTAAGTTTTCAAAACTTGCGTTGAAATATCGGAATGTAGATATGTATTATAAAAACAAGGATCTTGTATAATGATTAATTAAAACTAATTTATAAAACAATAGTACATTTCTTATATTTTTGCGATGTATCTACTCACCGGTACCGTACCGGCGACTAAGAAAGTAAAAAGCTATTCACCAGTACTGTACCGATGATAAAAAGCTATTCGTCGGTGAGTATAAAAACAATCGGTTTAAAATCATAAAAAGAGATTTAATAGAAGCTTTGAGATTTCGATCGTTTAAATACCTCCACATCTCACACTGCTCATACATCGATAGAGACCTGTGTAAAAATTACTGCTATGGTATATTGAGATATCAGATTTAAGCATGTATGCAAAGAAAATGAAAAGAAAATCAATTTTGCACTTGTGTGCTTCATTCGTCAGCGACAGCTATGATAAAGCTGAAATACTGAGGTACTGCCACGTATCAGCATATTTTTCACCGATTAATATCAATTATTTATGTTTATAGATATTATTCATTTATAATAACAAGTTTCCGAATAAAAATTACATTATATGTCGTTAATATATATATCAGTAATATAGATTTACAGTTCTATCTCTACAGTTAGTGCAGACCTACATAAATAAAACTGTTGATACGTCCACACTAATCAGTGGTGAAATTACTATAAATTTCCCATGCTAAGCACTGTCTGTCACCGTTGAATACGTGCCTGAAGTAGAAATTTATTGAAGCATCACAGCAGTTCATTGTTATACTTATCAATATAAATACGCAATGTCCAATAATGCACTACAAAACACTGTAATACAAAATTAGTATTACCAATTACATGGTTTTAATATTTTTAAACTTACTAAATAAGTATTAAAAAAAATGATGACCTAAAATTAGTTAAAAATTGAAAAAACAGTAAGGCTATTCATTTTATAAAACATAAAGCTGTTTCTTTGCATTTCAACCACTTTTTAAAAACACTGGCATCAGGACACTTGCTACTTACACCTACTCCCTTTATTACACCCATCGGACAAGGATGCACACTGTCACCACTACTTTTTCTATCTATATATCGAAGACGCTATAAACATCAAAACATCATTAAAGACAGGAAAACATTAGGGATAGATATATAGCAGTATTACCATATCTAGCAAAGAGGGGAGAGAGAGAGAGAGAGGGTAAAATAGAAGCGATACTGACAAAACAGTATTGCATAAAAATATATAAAACTAAAACAACAATTTTGCTATGTAAGGAAAGAAAAAAGAGGGAAATTAGTGATTATAAAGATAGGAGACGGAAATTTAGAAAAAGTCTCTGAGATTTGGTATCTAGGACGTTAGATAACTCAAGATGGAAAGTGCAGTAGAGATATAAAACAGAGCATAGTGTTAATCGCCCTTAAAAAAGGTCACTTTTATGATCACGAACGGTTAATTTAGAAATTCGGAAAAAATTGTTAAAGGTGTGGGTGTGGATCACGGCGATGTAAGGGTGCGAAACGTTGTCGGTTGGCGCGGCAGAAAAGATGATGAAAAATAATGAGGATACCGTGGATAAAGAAGTTTAGAAATGAAGAGGTATTAGGAAGAGTAAGAGAACAAAGGGCGCTATAAAAGTCAATAAGAAATAGGGGAAATAGAGGAAATAGGTTGCTAAGATACATTCTTAGGCATAAAAGGCTAGCTAGAGACATTTAGAAGCAGAAACAGGATCCAAGAGGAGTAGTGGTAAACCTAAATGAGATTACTGTTCACAAACAGTTAAGGATGTAGGATGCTCTAGTTTAGTACCTATAGGAATCAGTGGGGGTGCGCCTAGGAAAGTCATTAATAGTAATGAAATGATCAAAAAGACCTTTATACTGAAAATACCAATTTACTTGTGAAGGTACCAGGATGCACGTCCTACTTACCGATCATGTATAGCACTAGCATTTTAATTTTAGCAATATTTTTAATTAATTTAGCTATAAATCAATTTTATATAAATTTCAAATAAACATAACCCTCTGTCTTTCACATTCTCGCGATCCTTAGGAAAATTATCTGAGTTTTCAAAATGTAAACAAATAAACAAACTAAATAATGGTAACAATTAAACAAACAACATATCTTCATCCTCATCCGCATCCACTAGTTTAATCTCACTAATGTTCGCATCTTCATCCGCATTCGTTATAACTCTACTTGTGATTCCCTTTTCACTCAATCAAATATTTGCGTTTTTTTTTTATTAGTAGATTTTCATATTTTTTTGATCAATTGTATTATTTCATTCAATAAAATCACGCTTATTACATTGCCATATCTAACACCTAATAATACGTATCTAATTTGGATTGGATATAGACTCTTTAACGAAGAATTACCCTAATAGTGAAGGTTAAAATAACAAATGCATAAAACGTACCAATGCATTGCCTGTTTCGTCAGGTTAATGTAACACTTTCCATAGTGAATACCATTTTCAATTGTCTGGGACCCACAATTATGTAATGTGTGTTTCAATTTGCTTATCACTATGGTACGCACGTCCGAGTTTAACCTTAATTTTTGTGTAACATCAGCTTTGATAATATTGCCAAATAATCGTGGGGGTTTAGACCAGTCGAGCATATAAAAGCAAATAAATGTGTCTGTGAATCGTAGAAATCGTCTGTGTAACTAACTTTGAACAAGTGACAAGGAAATTTTGAAAACAAATCACCAACATGATGAAATACGTAAGTACCCATACAGTTTTTGATATATTTCTTTTTAATTAGTTGTAAGTTCATGAATTAGTGCTATTAAAACAAAAGGATTATAACAAAGATTATTAAATGAATTCCTTATTTGCAATTATTCAAAATTTCGGTATCGACTGTAGTGCTGTTGTTTCTNTCTGTATATAACTTCAAATTTTGTGTTACAAACAGCTTTGGGCCTCTTTATTACACCCTTCAGGAAGGTACCAAATGTTGGGAAAGTCCGAGTCCCCAACGACGTCACGCCAGACTTTCTCTGGGTACCTGAAGGGTGCATAGCAACAATAGTAGCGTTGACAGACACCTTCTCAGGCATGAAGGTCTAGTCAGAGACGTATTAGAGGCAGAAACGGGAGTTAGAAGGGGTAGAGGTAGACCTAGATTAGATTACTGTTCGCAAATAGTTAAAGATGTGGGTTGTTCTGGTTTTAAGGAAATGCGAAGATTAGCTCAGGATAGGAAGGAGTGGAGGTGCGTGTCCAACCAGTCTTAGGACTGAGGACCTCATGATGATGATGATACAAAGTTTCGTTGATCACTCTGTTAATTTTCTCCCGTAAAGTTGGTCCGACTGGTACATTTCAAGTGAGAATGAGATTTAACATAGGTATAGGTAACAGATACATATTCGTGTCGAAAAATGTAATAAGTTATTATTCAGTTCGTCCCACTACTTGGTAACAAACCGCTTTCTCACGAATCGTTCGTTTGTTTACTTTTGCCGCCTTCGATTTATTATAATAGCTTCAAAACAAAAGAAAGATCGCAATAACGACAAGTCACTGCTTATTTAGGTCAAAAAGCATTCAACTTTAAAATTAAGAAAATTCTTTATTATCATTTTTGCGAGGTAGGTTGAGAAAAGCAGAATTCAAAAACATAATATGGAATGCATAGAGGTACCGTTTTACGTCTGCAAATAACTTGGTTTGGTAGTCAGGGTCAAGCCAAAATCTTAATAATGAATTGATAGCATCAAATGGCTTATATTTTATCATTTTAATAACTAACACAGTATATGAGGGTGATCGGCAGTGCATATAAAAGAGTAGGAAATACTAGAATTTTGTGTGCTTTGGGCAGATTATCTTGAAAATGGGTAAAGCTATCGAGGTACCTTTGGAACTCGTTCGAAAGGCTCTCTTGGATTTTCGAACGTTTCATGAATTTGGAAGGTTGAAAAATGAAAATTTTACAAGAATGTCAACATGTATTAAAAGAAAAGACAACCGTATAAATAGATAAAGGCTGTTGTGTTAAAAAACCCGTGAATTTCGTGAATTCCACAAATGTACAATGTACTGATCTGTAAAATTCCACCGAAAACTTTCAAAAAGTGATAAAATAGGTTACCAATAATAAAAGCATTCCATTCCGATTCCATTGATCAGTTCATGATAATTTAGTTTTCCATACATCATATTTCTATGACTATAATCTCGCATATAAACAAATAAATCGTAAATAGATCGGCACGTACAGAAAAAAGCGCACCTCATTTTCGTTTTTTTTTCTGTATAATATTAGATTCGAAAGTTCTTTTAAAATACAAAAAGTTATATACTTGCATTTTTATCATTATGTATACCTTAAAAATGTTTTAGATCCTTGTTTTCAAATGAATAGTTTGTCTATATCCGTACAAGATCAGAAAAGTGGTTTTTTTAATTTAAACAATTTTTCCTCTAAAATCTACCAAAAAATAATAAAAAAAGTTGCTAATAATGCGAAATCGGGGACACAAATATTTTATTATTGCGTTCAATTTCAAATTTCTACGTATAAGGATTTCCCCGGAAAAACGGAATACGTATGCGAGTTTGATAGGGTTCCAAGTTTCCATTAGAAGTACAGAACCCTAGAAAAAGTTATTTATCTTTGAAATAGACTTTTTACATGAGCAGTACTATGCAACCAATAACACACATGTGTATGTTCGTTGCTCATTTTGCAGTAGAGACTTCAACATTGCCAGAGATATCAACGGTAGGTAAAGAAACGAACCTGCCACGAATTTGTACAAAACTAAAGAATTCGACAATTCTTATTGTGTAAATCAGTTTTTACAATTGTTACATATATAAGTGCATAAAATATTCAGTTTTACATGGAACTAATGGTTACTTTTGAATCATTTATGAAATAGAAAACAAGTTTAAGTACTCATACCAGTAGGTCGATTGTTATTTTTTTATACATACATATGTTACCTACATAAAGACATTTTATTTCATTCTGATAGAAAATGCCAATTAAGATTCTGGTTTTCTTTTTATTCATGTTATTCTTCTATTTAGATTAATAAGTATAGGAGACTTTAACGATCAGTCAAGCGACGAACGCCGAATAATTGAACTGGCGCCTATAAACTAGAAAACTTTTGAATCTAGAAAGCTTGTAAGGTTGCTCAAATTGCTTCGGCGGTAATTTTAAAAATATATTTTCTTTCATTCTTTGAGAGGGAAAAATTGTAGTAAATCAAACGTATTGTAGCAAGGTATAGAATGGGAAATTAATGCAATGGAAAGAGTATAGGAAATAAAGAATGGAATGAATATAAAGAACTGTTAGGGGTATATGGTAACGGTGTGGTTGTTTTAAATAAAATATAAAAAGAAATAGGAGGACAATAGGGAGGAAGGGTGTAATATAAAAACAGAAAAAACTGGAAATGATGTTTAAGTTTGTAGTATTTTTTGTATTAATTATAATTGGAAGTATTAAATTTTTTTTTCATATTCTTATTAAGAATGGTACACTACATTAGAAATTGTCTTTGAAATTGTTAAAATCGGTCAAGAATTAACCATATTGACCAATAGTGATGACCCACTTTGGCGCCCCCTAACGAAAAACTAACCATGGGATAGAAAAACGTCCCATTGAAACCTTAGTTGACCCATCTCGAAAGTCAAATTTCCATTAAACTGATTTTCTAATTTAATTTTATATAATGCAGTTCCTGGAGAAAGAACGGGGGGCAAAATCGAGCTTTACCCCTCATGAAATATTGTGAATAACAACTGATTCATCAGAGACTTTTTATTTTACCAGGAAGAAGTTACATTTTCATTATTTTAGTATTGAAGAGCAATTAACTTGCAATACCTTTTCCAGTTTCCTTAAAATTGTGACCTAACTGGAATTTTGAGGGAGTGCAGATAGAATAACTAAGTGGGTAGCTCACGCCCCCTTGTCGGCCCCATGAGGTTGTCCTGTAGGGCATGAAAGGGGCATATAACTCCTTGCCGCATTTACCCATTATCAGGAATACCGCATTGAGCTGCCGCGGGGAAAAATTATTGCTATCCCATTAAAAATTATTGGATAAATAAACTTCATTATTAATGAAAAAAATACAAAATTGAATGAGAAATATATTTTACCAATGAAAAACTGCAGCGGTATAATACATATTATTTCTTTACTTTCGTCACTAACATTAAGATAAACCATTTTTTTATCAACATCTATAATTTTACAGGTAGTAATATTTTCATTATTTGCAAAAAATATAGGTACATTTCTAAATATTTAGCATCGCATGAATACGTATAAAGGGTTTTTATTTTTCTTAGTAGTTTTCCACAAATTTCTATACAATTTATATCTCCATTTGGAAGTATATATACACTTGTTTATAAAATTTGTTTGCTCTTAAGTAAGATTGTGTTATTGGGCTGTATTGTAGTCAATAATACTTCAAATTGCAATCGTTTTACTGTTGTTCGACTTGATGCGTCTGGTTTCAGTTGTCTTATAATTTATAATAACAATAACACTTGTTGGTTCGTTGCAAATGTAAAAAAATTCATTGAAACGACGACATAATTGGGCAAGGGGATTGTTACCATTTTATATAAGTTTTTTCATTTTACCGAGAGTATTTTCAAACGGATTTGCCTCATCGACCCCCCCTAAGGTAGATTTAATTGTAAGTATTAAGACCCATATGAAAAACCCTCAATCCACATTTTAGTATCACTACTTTTTTTTGGTGAGATTTTCATGAGGAATCTTAGGGGAAATCCTTGTATCGGCTTGCACCTCATTAGCCACATGAGGCCCGCACGTAGGGTTGCCACCCGTACTTTATTATAAAGTATTGTACTCTATTTCGACTGTGCGTACGTTATACTTTACAAAACACATAAAGTACGCTAAAGTACTTTATTTAAGGTCTCAAGTAAACATCGTAATTTTGTAAGTGATTATTCGAAATTCAGAGTACTTTTACATCAATAATAATTGTACAGAAAAATGGCAAGCCATATTTACGGAACAACCTGATTTCCCAAATCTGTTCAAAGTAGTGTCACTTTTGCTGTCCGTTCCGGCCACTTCAGCATTTACAGAAAGAGTATTCTCTGTTATGAAC